CGAGGACAGCTCAGCACGGTCATGTGAGGGAACGGCTATTTTTTTTTTTTTTTTTTTTTTTTTTGTGGCTCTTTTTGTTCCTTCGAAGTTTCCTGTATTTAATACTGTGGGTGGGCAGTGGCTTTTTCCAGAGGAGTTTCAGTTGAGCTTTTCCCAGTTCTCAGCCCAATTTTACTAAAAAGGGACTATTAGTTGTCAGCACTGATTCTTTTTGTTGTTTTGTTTTGTATTTTTCTTTACTCTAAAACTGGACCAAAGAACTGCTTTTCTTAAGTAATGAACTCGTGGAACAAGTTCTGAATTGAATTTAACTTGGGACTGTTTCAAAAGTTGGTTACCCAATATATATATATATATATATATATATATATTTTTTTTTTTTTTTTTCTGTCTTTCTTACTTATACTTATCGAAGTGTAGGAAGGAGAACATAGATTAATTTATATAATCAGTAGCCCAAAAGTTGATCCTGTAGCTGGGGAGGCAGCTTGCATTTATAATCTCAACTCCTGAGGGGGAGGCTCTGGAGTTTGAGGCAGCCTTGAACGATAGGGAGACACCTTGTCTCAAAGAGAAAAATCAAGTTGATACTGTTTGGTAGATCTGATCGCCTACCCCCTGCTGCCCAGCCACCAAGTTCCTGAGCTCTAAGAACAATCACAGCCTCACAGCCAATCACAGCCTCACAGCCCTCTCTACATCCTGCAGCAACCCCCCCACTCCCAGGCCAGGAGCGGCTAGGTCTCTGCTGCAGTTGCTGTGGCCACATACTCAGCTATTCTCAGGCCCTGGTCCCAAGTCTTTCCTTTTGTCACCCCATTTAAGTCTCTCTTACTCACCCCTTCCCTACTGTAAAAGATTTAGCTCACTAATCTGAGCCTTCTTTTTTTTGGGGGGGGGGTACCAGGAATCAGACTCACAGGGGCTGTGCCGCTGAGCTAGGTCAGCTCACTAAATTGGACTGACTTTTCTAAGGTGTCACTGGGAGATTCCCACCTGAATTTGGGGTGACTGTGTTCTTTCCTGGGTGACATGAGGACCTAGCAACTCTATAAAATCTTTTATGAATAAGCCAGTTCTTAAACATATTCCAAGGCAAAGCTAAGTTTACATATCTTGTCAATCTAACTGGCTAGTCAGAGTCTAGATAATTCTTTCTTAAACAACTCTTAACTGCACAAACAATACTTTATTTGTGGGTCACTTTATCAGATTGACTTATCAAAATCAAATAAATTTCATGGTCTTTTCCAAGAGAAAATGGTAGGATTAACATGATCTGGTAACTTAATTACATTTATACAGTGCTCCCATGTTGACCTCCTCTTTGCACTTAACTGTTACAATGAATCAGTTCTCAAGTTACAGGTGGAAAGTTTGGTTTAGGTTCTTCCCCATAGAAAGGACATGTTTAGATGGAATTAACTTTCCTTCCCTGAGGAGTATCTTTTCTACCTGATGTGTATGTAGTGATGAACATGATGATTTAGCAACATTAAAGAATAATCTCTTTTATTCCTGTTCGCTGGGCTGTTTCTCATATCTCTTTTGTAAAGTTCTGTAATATCTGAAGATTTTTATTCAATTCCTTTTTGTTACGTAGACTCTTTATCCAAGATACAATAAATGAACAAATTCTCCAATCATGGACGTTGATTTTAATAATTTCAAGGAATAATAGTGTAAGAACTCAGTATGCAAAATTTGGGACAACAATGGCTTGTGTTGTGAAATTATATACAGTTATGTGTGGTTACCATCACACTATAACTCCAGTATTTATCACAACCAATATTTGGGGCTGGTCAGATAGCTCAGCAGACTAAAGTGCCTGCTTAGGCAAGTTTTAGGGTACTGGGTGCGATCCGCATGCTGTCCCTGCCCTGCCCACGTGGTGCGCTGAGATGGCAAATGCGACGGGGCATGGCGATAATCCCAGCACTTGAGAAGCTGAAAACAGGAGGATCGCTATGAGTCTGATCTATGTAGTGAGACCCTGTAGACCCTGCACTGAATAGATTAAACAACCAACCAAACAAAACATCCCCAGTATTTGGTCAACTTAAAAGTTACAAGTAAGGTTAAGAATGTGCCAAGCTAATGACAGTGTTGAAGTTTGCTTAGTTTTGTTACTGATTATTCTGGGAGACTATGGAAGTAAAATACTTTGCAAAAATATTTAGTGTTAAAATAGAGTTGATGCTGTGCAGAACGCCCGTGTTACGGAATCCCACTTGCACTATCTGAAGGTGGACGACTGGCAGCTCTGTGTAACTGTAGCATAGCTGGGGCCACTGCGCCCTGCTGCAGGTGTTTCTGTGAAAGCACTTTATTGGTCTGTGGTTATCCGAGCCAGACTCTGCTGCAGGGACCGCTGAAGAGGAGTACAGTCAGATTACCTGAGTAGTAGAGGTGCGTGTTTCAGCAGTTGAAAATGTATTATTTAAATACTAATGTCCCTTATTTATTGAAGAATTAAAATACAGTTTCTTTTCATAGTATTTCTTCACGTTTATGAGCTACTGATAACAACATATAAACAATATCTTTTACATTTTGATCAATAGTGCATGTCAAAATCCACAAGTCAGTTGTCTGTGTACATCATGGCTATGACGTCTTGCTAAGAATTTAAGTAGAAGGTATAGATGTCTGATAGGTATGTTGGAGGGTTTTTTCTTTTTAAGTATTACTAAAAGTTTTGGTCTTGTGTATGTTTCTGTGATTATTTGTTTGCATTTGAAATTCACATTCAAATGGAAGTAAGTTGTTTTCAGCTAAATTTACCTTAATCCTGTCAGGATAGGGAAATAAAATTGTGGGAAAAGTGCTGGAAACAACATAATTTGTATTATCATGTTGGGCAAATACATTCTGACCTCAAGGCAACTTGACCTGTGCTTTTTATGGTCCTAAGTATGTGGCATTCTACCATTTGAGTATTAGCATAGAAAGTAATAGTTTAATGACAGCTTCCTCCCCTCCCCTCCCCTCCCTTCCCTTCCCTTTTCTTTGCTCTCTCTGTCTCTCTCTCTCTCTCTCTGTCTCTCTCTCTCTCTCTGTCTGTCTCTCTCTGTCTCTCTCTTTCTGTCTGTCTCTGTCTCTGTTTCTCTCTCTGTCTCTCTCTTTCTGGCATGGGAATTGACCCTAGCACTTATGCACTGATCTCTGTCACCCGGCCCTTTAATTTTTTAACTTTGAAGCAGGGCCTTGCTAAGTTGCTAAATTGCCCAAACTGGGTTTCAACTTTAGATGCTTTTGCCTCAGGCTTCAGGAGTGCTGGGATTCAAGGACTGTGCTGCCACATCAAGTTGGATAGTAGATTTTTAAATCTTGCTCCTTTTGCTTTCTATAGTCGAGTTCTGATTATATGAATATCAGTTTTTCTCTAGGTCTTATTTCTTAACTTGCTTATGCTGTGTTTTCATCTTTTTAGCTAAAGCCAAATTGTTTCACTTCATCTTGTTTCATGAATAATTTACAGTACACAGGCTTGTTTGCTTTGCTTTGGAAAAATTGTAAGTTGGTTATATTTCATGACAGTGTGATCCATTGAATGGATTTTTTGGTACTGGGAATTGAACTCAGGACTTTTTGCTTGCCAGACCTTGGCCCTATTTAATAGATTTTAACTCAGTTTAAGGCTTTTATATCTTTTTAAGTTAATTAAACTTTAAAATCAGATTTTTGAGAAATCTGATCTTACTTTCATTAATTATGTTATTTAAGAAGATTTAATACATTCAGCATGGCAGAAATGTCATGGAGGTTAAACTAGACTACATAGTTGCTCGCTAGAAATTTCATGACTATATCAGAGTTATCTCCATGATATATATTTAAACTGTGCAAAGTTCAGTATAAAAAAATTTGAGTTGGCTTAGAACTGTTGATCCAATTTACAAAGAGCCTGTGCAGGGGAAGAAGAATCCCTGTAGATAAGTCCATTTGGGAGAAGACCAGCTGCCTGGCTGTTGAGTCACTTTAAAGGTCACGTGTCTGTGGCTGCCATAATCTTGGGATCTTAGAGCAAGTTTGCCTGCTTATCCATGGCCTGTGCTTCTCTGGCTGAGTCTGTTTGAACTCCCAATCCCTTTGATGTTTGTCTTCATTTTGCTTATTGGGAAAGAAGTAGATGGAAAGCCTTTGGCAGTATTGCAAGTTACTGAACAATTCCTTAGCATTCAGCAAACCCTGGTTCACTTACCTAGTACCCCATTCCCTTTGGGAGACAAATAAATATAACAGCACATATAAGTACCCAGGTAGTGTGAAGAGTTTGGCTGACCTGGAACCACAGGTAGTAGATTGCTGGAAGAAGCTGCAGTGGGGTAGGTGAGTGATACCTTCTCTTAGAAGGGATGCCAGATAGCAGGATGTTTGTGAAGGGTCACTTGTGTTCTTCAGATTTATGCTTCTGTGTCACTATAAAAGATAGAGCCAGGCCAAAATAAGATGAATTATTTTATAGGTAGTGGAGAGCTGGCTGTAGGGTGGGTACAGCAAGGTC